ACACACGTGCTTAATGGAGCCGCTTGGCTGCAGGTTGACGAAGACTTCTCACGTCCCCATCGGGTGGTGGGAGCAACCGCTGTCGAGCAGGACCACCGCCGGGTTTGCCTGCACAGCTGCTGCCACCGCCTGGAAGTCCTCCCTGGCCTCCGGCGCCAGCGAGACGGTCGGCTCCACGACGCCGACCAGCGAGCACGACGCCGTCTTGTCGTCCCGCGTCTTGCCGCCTGCAGGGGAGTCGGCGTCCTTCGCCGAAGTCGATGTCTTGGTTGACTGCTTCTCCTTGCGCGGCTGGTTTCTTCCTCGACGAGGACGACGACTGCTCGACCTCCCGCGGCCTCCCTTTGCGTCATCGTCTTCGGAGTCACTGCGGTCGGGGCACTTGAAGGAAAGGTGGTCGGGGCTGTGGCAGATCCAGCACTCCCGACGTCGACTTACTCCTCCTCGACCGCTGTCTTTGGTCGACTTCTTCTTCTCGACTTCCTTGGTCGACTTCCAGCCACTGCTGCCTCCACCGCCAGACTGTCCGCGCTGCCCCGGTCGACCTCCTTGCTTTGTCGAGGCGACAAAGTTGGCCTGCGCCATGAGCTCCTAGGACCGCTCTGCCTCCTGCATCGCCTCGTCCTGCAGGATGTACGAGGTCAAGTTGTCCTCGTTGAGCGTCGTCCTTATGCCTGGCGCCATTGACAGCCTCTTCAAGAGGTTGTAGTTGCTCGACAATCCCTGCATGACGTGGGTGACGTAAGACGCCGTCGAGTACTGCGCGCCGGCCATCCTGATGGTGGCGAGAATCCGCTTGGCCCGGTTGCAGTAGTCGGTCGCCGTCTCCTCGTCGCCCATACGCAGGTGCGTCAGCTGTCCCTCCAGCTGGGCGATGAACAGGTCGTCGGTGACTTGGTAGGTCGACTCAATGAAGTGCCACGCTTGGTGGCCGGCGTCGAGGTACTCTCGGCACCAGTTCAAGGTGATCTGCACGCCCGGCGAGCAGCATCGCGAGATGACAATGAAGGTCAACAGCTGCACGGCGCGGAACTCCGCACGTAGGCCGGGGTCGTCTGGCGCCGCCATAGTACCTCGGGCAAAGTTGATCAGCACAGCCATCTCCAGCTGGGGCTCAATGGCTTCCTTCAAGGTGAGGATGTCCTGTCGACCGACGAGCGGCGGGGTGACCAAGATCCTGTCCGGCGCAAATTTGAAGTAGCCGTAGCTCGGTGCAGTCCCGCCTGCCGTCACCTGGGTCGCCGACATAGGCGACAATCTGCTTCGTCGTCCTCCGACGTCGCCATGCGAGGAGCCTGCATCCGCCAACGACTGCACCCCTCGCGCCTGAACGCCGCCGACTTCATCGGCGTGTATCACACCTCTCTGCCTCGACGTGCCTCCCGCACTGCTGCTGACTTGGCCACCTCCGGCGTTGACGCCCACATCGGCGCCGCCTTCATTGGTCACCGGTCGAGTAGAAGCCGGTCGGGAAGGGGGATGCTCCAGCCGTCCCTCCAGGGTGTCCATCACCTTGGTGTCTCCTACGCGTACGTTGGGGACTGTACGGCTGCCAGCCTACAAACAACTTAGGTAAGTGACCTCTACATCGTCCTGACTGAAAGGTAAATCGTGTGCTGTCCACGCTCACCGCACCATGCGGAGATAACTGCTGCAACGGGAGCTAGACTACGGGCTAGGCACGGGTGCTCGTGTGATCTCTGCGTTCGTTGGTCCTTAGTCGTTTTCTTGTGTGTTCTCTGCTTGCTAGTTCACAGGGAGAATTGGCAAGAGTTTCACTTGGAAGGATGACAACAATGATTCAATGAAGTTGGCATGGCAAGACTACACCAAAGCTAGCATTCAGGTTGGTCGACAGCCAGCGCAGCATGGTCGACCGCGTTCCAGCACGACTTGGACGACCGCGCTCCAGCAGTGCAAAGTCGACGGCGTGCCAACGTCGCAAGTTGACGGCGTGACAGCGCTGCTCACGCAGAACAGCAGCGCACCCGCTTCGTGGGTGCACGCAGATGATTGGCAGGCTGAGCATCGTCACCTGCACAACCCACACTGTGAAGAAATGAGGAATGAGTGAACAAGCACAAGGTTGGGTACAAGTAGGAAACCCTAGGAAACTGTACCCCATAGTGTCTACCCCACTATAGCCTAGACAAGCTATATGATATAAGTTTGACACACCCCCATAGGCAAATTGGGGGAGAACAAGAGGTCACAAGACCAGTCAAGCAAAGCAAAGCAAGCTCAGGGTGGATCACAACGTCACCACACAATCCGAGCACAAGAACAAGGCCAGTTCACATACAAGATCATATATAAAGGTAAACAGGCAAGTGCAGGTATAGAAAGATCACAGTACAAGCAAGGTCAAGAAGTGAGCAAGTGAGGCCAAGTAGGCACAAGACCTAGCATAGTACAGAAGCGCTGATGATCACCAGGCGGAAGTGCCTTCGTAAAGATATCAGCAGTGTTGGCCTCAGAGGCCACGTAAGCAAGGCGCAGCTGACCACGCTGCTGCAGCTCACGAGCAAGGAAGTAGCGAAGAGCAATGTGCTTCATTCTGTGCTCTAGTCTGTGCTCCCGACACAAGGCCAGCATGGCCTTGTTGTCTACATACAGAACTGGAGGAGAACAAGACGACTCTCCTAGGTCAGTCAGCAGGTAGGTGAGCCAGCGTAGCTCCTGTGCAGCCATGGCCCCCGCGTAGATCTCAGCCTCACAGCTGGAGCCGAGAACGGAAGACGAGCGGGTAGACCGCCACGAAACAGAGCCGGAACCCAGGCTGAAGGTGTAACCCTGTGACGACTGCTGCGTAGCCTGGTCGTCAGCCCAAGAAGCGTCTGCGTGACCTGTGAGGACCACTCGACGTCGCCCTCCAAGAACTAGCCCCATGCCCGACATACTGCACAAGTAGCGCAACACCCTCTTCGCTGCAGCCATGTGCTCTGGTCGGTGTCTCCCAGGAGCAACATAGCGTGCCAGGATGCTAAGAGGGTATGCAAGGTCAGGTCGTGTAAAGGTCATCAGGTACATGAGGCAGCCAACAAGCACTGGGTATGGGCCACTCGGCTCTACGGACTCATCCGAAGGCAGAGCTAAGAGGGAGTTGCGAGTAGACAGAGGAGTGGCCTGAGGCGAGGAGTACGTGAAGTCGAAGCACTGAAGGACCTGCTGCACAATGTGTGACTAAGTCAAATAATGGTGCGCTGTGCTCTGTCCCGGGTGATCTGCAAGCCAAGGTAGCTGCGCAGTTCACCCAGGTCTGTGCACGTGTGTCTCTTCTGCAGCTCGGACTTCACGTGGGCGAGTCCAGCAGTGTTAGCAGTGGCAAAGACCAAGTCGTCGACGTACACGAGGATGTAGAACCGCGGCAAAGAGGTGTCGGTGCGCAGAAACAGCGACGCGTCGGCTGTAGAAGGAGCAAACCCAAGAGCCGCAAGTGTAGTCCTCTGTGTGTTGTGCCACTCACGGGGCGCCTGGCGGAGACCGTAGACTGGCCGCCGGAGGCTCCACTGGGTACCAGGAGGAAACGGCCCAGTGAAGCCACGTGGGCGGCGCAGCTAGATCTCCTCGTGCAGGCTGCCCTGCAGGAAAGCTGTGCTGAAGTCGAGAGAGTGAAGCTCGTAGTCGCGCTGAGCGGCTATGTGCAGCAGCACCCGAAGAGTGGTCATCTTTGGGGTGGGAGAGAAGGTCTGAAAGTAGTCAACTCCATGCCGCTAACTGAAGCCTCGAGCCACGTAACGCGCCTTGAAGACAGGCGGAGAACCCGGCGGCCGCTTCACCCTGAAAATCCACATGCCACTGACGATGTTCGCCCCAGGTGGGGGAACCTCGTCCACGAAGGTGCCTGTGGACTTCCAGGAAGCCATCTCTGCGTCCATGGCTGACTGCCACTGAGAGGAGTAGGGACCCTCGATCGCCTCAGCGTACGATCGAGGAGTCGGGATGTCTGGTGCATCCGGGTCTCCCTCAGGGGCAATCAGCCTGGACATGAGATGAGGCAAAGCAGCAGCAAAACACTGAAACTCCTCCTGCCTGTCCTCAAGGACGTCCGTGCTAACGGCACACTCACCCCCGACGGACGGAGGACACACAGACTCAGACTCAGCAACAAGACTAGCACCGTAGTCTAGACGATAGCGAGCAGCAAAGTCGACAACCTCAGTGACTAGGGCCGACGCAGCAGCGGACTCAAAGGAAGGGTCAGTGACAACATTAGCCAGGAGACGCGTGACAGTAGGACTGGCAGCACGAAGAGAGTCAGACTCCGGGCCAGCAAGGAATGGAAGAGAGGACTCTGGAGGAGACGGCAACGGGACACGCAGAGGAGCAGTGGAAGGACGCAGTGCCATCTGGTGTGTGCCTGGGACCGTAGGAGGACGCGGACGCGGAGCACGACGACTAGTGCGAGCAACACGAACAGGCGACGCAGGACAAGACGCAGGCTCACGACGCTCAGGAAGACCTCTAGAAGGACCTGTGTAGGGAGAAGGAGCAGGTAGGGGGGATGCGGGCTATAGCTGTGACTGCGACTGGACAGGCTGTGGACACTCTAAGGGAGGAGCAGGACCAGTAGAGGGCGGGAGACCAAGAACCTGCTGAAGGAGCGGAACGAAGTACGGCCGCGGCCGCGCAGCGCCTCCAGAACCAGCAGGGACAGCACTAGTACCCCCAGCGGCAGCACTAGCGCCAGTAGCACCTCCAGCTCCAACAGTGCCAACTCCTGCACCCTCAGACGCACCAGTGCCAGCAGAACCACCAGCGCCAACACCCCCAGCAGCTCCAGCTGCTCCAGCAGCACCAACTCCACCACGAGCGGCAACTCTAGTACTGCCAGCAGCTCCAGTAGTACCTCCAGCAGGACCAACTCCAGCAGCCCCAGCAGCTCTAGTACCGCCAGTACGAGCACTTTCGGGACCAGCAGCAACAGTAGTACCTCCAGCTCCAGCAGCACGGCTCCAGCGCCGGGCAAACCACTCGCGCAGCTCCTGCGGAGAGAGTGGCTACCGCCTCGACGAAGCACCGCGAGAGGCCACACGAGCAGACCCAGCACCCCCAGGCTCCGCACCCCCAGACTCAGCACCCCCAGACTCAGCACCCCCAGACTCAGCACCCCCAGGCTCAGCCCCCCCAGGCTCCGAACCCCTGGACTCAGCACCCCCAGGCTCCGCACCGTCAGGCTCAGCACCTCCAGACCCGGCACCCGCAGGCTCAGCACCTCTAGCAGCACCAGAGTCAACAGCTACCTCTACAGGCTTGACTGCGTCTACCTGGGACACACCTGACGGGGCAGGACCCTGAGGGGGGACGGGGTCTACTCGGGGAGGACCTGGCGCAAGGAAGAGCGGCGGCGGGGGGAGGGGCGCAGTGCGGTAGGGGAAGAGACGGTAGTAAGGCACCGACTCGTCAAAGGTGACGTCCTCGGAGGACAGAACACGACGCGAGGTGGGGTGGTAAAACTGCCACCCAGGCGCGTCAGGGGGGAAGCCAAGGAAGACGCGGGGAACAGCACGGGGGGACAACTTGTCCGCAGACAAGTCGGGGACAAACGCCCGAGATCCCCAGACGCATCGCCAACCTTCCCCGTCCACCGCAAGGGGGGGGAGGTCTCTGGCAAGGAGACCCGGGGCTGAAGGTTGAGCTGATGCGCTGTGTACTGAACCGCAAATGGCCACAGAAAATGGGGGGCAGCCGCATGGATCATGGACGTACGAGCGACGTCCATGACCATGCCAATTCGGCGCTCAGCAATCCCATTTTGCTTTGGAGAGGCTGGAAGCATGAAGGTCTGGCCGATGCCCGGTGCTCGACAAAAGGCTCGCAGACGGGCAGAGGAAAACTCCCCGCCTCTGTTAGAGTGCAGACGCAGAACAGGAAAGTCCGAGCCGAAACTCTCTCTGAGCTGGAGATGAGCTGCGCGGATCTAGTCGATCAACACCTCAGTGACATCACCCTTGCTGCGCAAGGAGAAGACTGCGGTGTAACGCGAGTAGTCGTCAACCACCAACAGGAAGTAACACTCGTGCCCCTGGCCACGCACGCGGGCGGGGCCCCACACGTCCATGTGAAGAGTTTGTAGCGGAGCCTCTGTCGGAGGAAACTCGGAGGAGTGAGGGGCGGCGCGCTGTCGCCCCTCGACGCAGGGGACGCAGGTAGGGGCAGGCCCCTGAGGTAGGGGAGGAAGAGACCGGGGGAGACCAGAGACAACGACACGGAAGGCCATGCCTCGGAGACGAGGCAGGGAGGGGTGACCAAGGCAGTGGTGCCAAAGGAGAGTCTACTGGGACAGGAGACGACACGAGCAGGGAGCAGACTCAGGACCAGACCTGGACGCTGCACCAAACACCTTACTCGACGCAGCTACCTGACCAAACTCAGCAGCCGGAGGAGACTCAGTAGTAAGTGTGTACAGGCTCGACCCCGGCCGACGGGTGAATGTGGCCAAGTGTCGGCCTGTCCAACCACACATGCAGTGGGTCACCCGCTGACTCGAAGGAGTGAACTTGTCAACCCCCCTATCCCGTAGATCAGCTCCACTCACCAAGTTCGTAGAGAACAAGGGGAGGTAGACCTGACAGGGTGCCAGAGGGGGCTGCCGGGCACGGTAAGACAGTGGAGAAGCTAGCAAGGACAGGACCCCCAGAGGGGTCCGCCAGGGAGACTGCAACCAGCCGACTAAGCGGCGTAAGTGTGGAGCGGTCTCGAAAGAAGGAGCGGGAAGCAACCGAGTCAAGGGTGAAGGTGTGTAGGGCCTGAGCCGACGTAGTACCTCAGAGAGCAGACTCAGCAGCACCTGGGGCAGCATACGTACTAGCACCTAGAGCAGCAGCCTCACCAGCACCTAGAGCAGCAGCCTCAGTGCCCGGGTCAGGCAGAACACACAGGTAACAGTCACCCTCAACACTATCAGACACAGCTTACAATCAGATACAGCAAGAATAGCATCATAATCAAGATCAAAGATAGCGACCCCCGCCCTAGACAGCTCTCCCCAGCGAGGGATCTCAGAGGCGTCAGGGAACTGGTGTCGCCATGCGTCCGTCAGGCGGCTGAAGCAGCGCTGGGTGGAGTGCGGGCCCCCGCACTGCTCACCAGCGCGGTCGCCGGTACGGAGGACGTAGGTGAAGGGACCAGTACCCCCACCTCACTGACGCGCAGCGTACCACTCACGAAGCTGCTGAGGGGACAGGGTCTCACAACTGCGCTGCTACTGCTGGCGCGGATCACCACCGGACCCACTCCTCTGCGCAGAGCCGTGACCAGCTCCACCGCTGCCGCCGCCTCCTCCGCCACCTCCGCCGCCTCCGCCACCTCCGCCGCCTCCGCCACCTCCGCCGCCTCCGCCACCTCCGCCGCCTCTGCTCCCTCCGCCACCGCCGCCGCCTCCTCCGCCTCCACTCCTGCCACCGACACCTCCACCCCCGCCACCACTCCCACCACCACCCCCACCCCCTCCACTGCCTCCACCACCACCTCCACCGCCCCCGCCAGCCCCTCCAGCGCCCTTGCCCCCCTTGCCCTTGCCAGTGCGGAGTCTCCCGCTAGGGGTAGACGCAGCGCCGACCGACTCGAAACCAACGAGATCGGCCGCAGCAACAGAAGCAACAGAGGGCAAGAGGGGGGAAGGGGAACACCCCTCAAAGACGGGGGTGCGAGGGTCACCACGAGAGGCTCCTACAGCGACTATGCTCTTCTTTATTGCTAGGAGGCGCTCCTCGAGGAGGTCAACAGTGAGTGTGGTGGGGCAAACTAAGAGGAAGTGGTCCCTGACTAAGCGAAGGGAGTCAGGGAGCCGGGTGACTATGTAGTAGAGGGTGATGTACATGGGGGTGGGGTTCTTGGCAGAGAACTCAGCAGGAAGCGCAGCGCGGTAGCGAGTGTCACTAGTGCGAAGGTGCGTAATGAGGTCAGCGACTGTGGGAAAGGCAGCAAGGTCAGGGAAGAGGTATGGTAGCATGAGGCGGCTCAGTGCAGCAGTGGCAAGGGAAGAGTAGCGTGCAACTACAGCGTCGTACAAGGTCTTAGCACTCTTGTACTGGCTAAAGTGTGCACGCTCAGTGGTCGGTAAGTGACGACGCACAGCAAGACGGGCAGCAGCATCGCGTGTGGTCCACTGTGAGCGAACAATGCTATCAGTAGTAGCAGGCGGGGCAGGAGAGGCACCAGAGGTGAGATCGAACAGGGAGAGTCCGTCTGCCCTGTCGCACTGTAGGAACAGCTGGAGGTCATCGACCCAGACCTCAATGTCAACAGCACGACCCTCAGCATCAAAGGTAAGGACACCGGGGGTAGCCATGATTGCAGTGGCCTAGCAGGGAGTGATCTCACCAGTCCGAGTAAGTAGGGCCGGGGCGCGCCGGTAGGAACAGTAGCGGCTCGACTGCAGGGCGGCTCGGCGGCTCGGCTGCTGGGCGGTTCGGCGGCTCGGCGGCTCGGTTGCTGGGCGGCTCTGCTACTGGGCGGCTCGGCTGTCGGGCGGCTCGGTTGCTGGGTGGCTCGGCGGCTCGACGGCTCGGCTGCTGGGCGGCTCGGCGACTCGGCTGTTGGGTGGCTCAGTTGCTGGGCGGCTCGGAGAGGCGGCGACGGGGCTGGTAGAGGCGGCGACGGGGCCGCCAGAGGCGGCGATGGGGCCGCTAGGGGCGGCGACGGGGCCGCGTAGGGAGGAGAGCAGCAACGGGGCCGCTAGGAGCGGCTACGGGGCCGTGTTGGGGCTGCGACGGGGCTGCGTAGGGGCGGTGATGAGGCCGCGTAGTGGCGGCGGCGGGTCCGCGTAGGGAGGGGAGTGGTGACAGGGCCGCTAGGGGCGGCGACGAGGCCGCGTAGGGGCGGCGACGAGGCCGCGTAGTGGCCGCGACGGGGCCGCGTAGGAAGGGGAGCGGCGACGGGGCCGATAGGGGCGGCGACGGGGCCGCTAGGGGCGGCGACGGGGCCGCGTAGGGGCGGCGACGGGGCCACTAGGGGCGGCGACGGGGCCGCGTAGGGGCGGCGACGGGGCCGCGTAGGGGCGGCGACGGGGCCACGTAGGGAGAGAGGCGGCGACGGGGCCGCTAGGGGCGGCGATGGGGCCGCTAGGGGCGGCGACGGGGCCGCGTAGGGGCAGCGACGAGGCCGCTAGGGGCAGCGAGGGGCCTAGAAGGGCGGCGAACAAGGCGCGCCTCGGGCAGGAGCGACTGACGCTCAGGTCAGAAAAAAAGTTTCAGTGGTGGGCCCAAGGAAGCATTCCCACTGGGGAACCTGCTCTATACCATGTGAAGAAATGAGGAATGAGTGAACTAGCACAAGGTTGGGTACAAGTAGGAAACCCTAGGAAATTGTACCCCATAGTGTCTACCCCACTATAGCCTAGACAAGCTATATGATATAAGTTTGACACACACACCAAGTCAACTTGGCGCTGATGACTGCTTCTGATCAGCCACGACAACCTCGGGATACCACCACCGAGGTCGGGCTCGCCAACTTCACCTGGGCGACCGTCGCACTCCTCCGCAGAACCTCGTCACCCAGGTAACCTGGTCGACTGGGAAACCACGTCGACCAGCTGCTCCCGTACGTGCCCGTCGACCCCCCAAGTCGTCAGCCACCTCCAAGTCGACCTCACCAGGTCGACCACGCCCCTGGTTGACCAGCTCCAGGTCGACGTCACTTCTGGTTGACCAGCTCCACGTCGACCAGCAGTCCTGGTCGACCAGCTTTATGTCGACCAGCGCAGTTGTCGGCCGACCACCCAAGTCGGCTACTCGAAGTCGGCGTCACGAAGTTGACGCCCAGCTACTCGACGCCCAACTGCTCGGCGTCCTGAGTCGAGGTCGATGTCGGCCCCTCCTTCGTCGACCACCAGGTCAGGTCGACCACCAGCAGGTCGACCAGCAGGCCTGGTCGACCAACCACCAGGTCGACCAGTAGTCCGTCAGCCGACCACCGAAGTCGGCTTCTCCAAGTTGATGTCACCTAGTTGACATCCACCGCAGGTCGACTTCCCAGGTCAACCTCCCTGAACTCGGCGCCCGTACAGTGGTCTCCATGCAGGTCGACCTCCTCGTCAACCAGCTCGCCCACTGCTGCAGGTCGGCTTCTCTCCTCACACCCGACCATGGAGTCAGCTCCGCCCAAGCGAGGACGGGGCCAACATACAACTCCCGTTGACACATGTTCGTCCATGAAAAAGACATGAACGTACATGAGCCGACATGAACGAACATGACTCGTCATGATCCGTCATGACTGATCATGATCCCACAGCAACAGCACATGAAACGAAATGCAAAAACGAATGCACACAGAACACACACAAAATGCATAACGTCATGCAGGCGGCTGGTTGTAGTGCAAAAATAATATTTTGCACCCAACAATTTTACCCTGATATTTTGTGTCCTGATTGGTAGTGGAAGTCCTTGTGGTAGTGGGAACCTTGTGCATAGTGAATGTAGATGAAAAGATTGATTCAATGATGAAATCACACACAATATAGATCTAACTAGCCATGTACTCTGACGTGTACATTCCCTTAAAAAAAAATACTCGTAGTTCAACAGTGACTCCAAGTATAGCTCTTCTCTTGTTATCGAGTCGTTGCGTGTAACTGTATGAACAGTTACGCTTGTTGCCATTCTTCGTTGGTGAGTTGTTCGGTCCTGACGGTCAACAGTTGCGACAGTTGACTTACGGCAGCGACTATTGACATTCATGCCCTTGTACGGGCTAATCTACTATGCTACTGCTATTGATGCTTTGATAGTGGCGGTTGCGATACAGCTGCACCTACGGGAATGCTGAAGTCAATTTCCTCCTTACTCCAACATACATTATCATGGTAGAGTAAGGATCTTTGAATAGGGTAGGAATGCTTAGTAGAGTTTGGTAGCGGAAGTCTTTGTTGTAGGAATTCTGATCATAGTGAATGTAAATGACAAAGTTGATTAAAACAGAGGCTACACACATAATAAATAGTTCTAACTAGCCATGTACTTGTCAGAATGTTATCTTATGCTCTAGCCTGTAGTGGGGTGCTCTATAACAAGTACAACCCTTCTAGGGTTTGCTATTTGTATCCCCATTCTTGCTAGTGCAACCCTCTTCTCTTTTCTAAACTTTAACATGCTATCAGAGCAGGTCGATCCCATTGGATCGATCCTGTGGGTGGGTTACCACCTCCTCGCTTCCGCTGCAACTTTTTCTTCCCGCCGTGCGCCCCGAGGCGCGCGACGGTTTTCTGCCCGTCGTGCGCCCCGAGGCGCGCGACGGTTTTCTGCCCATCGTGCGCCCCGAGGCGCGCGGCGGTTCTCTGCCCGCTGTGCGCCCCGAGGCGCGCGGCGGGCTTCTGCCCCGTCGTTCGCCGCGTCGCCCTCTGGTGGCGCCGCGACGGGCGACGGGGACCCGTCGCGGCCCCGCCGACCCACTTCGCGGCCCCGCTGCCCCGTTTCGCGGCCCCGCCACCCTACGTTCGCGGCCCCGCCGCCCCACTTCAGGGCCCCGCCGCCCCAACTTCGCGGCCCGGCCGCCCTACACCTGCGGCCCCGCCGCCCTACTTGCGCCCCGACCCCTTTTCCCGTCGCCCGTCGCGGCTCCCTCGGGGGCCGCTTCCTGGGGGAAGGGGGCGAGCGCCGCCATCCCACCCTGCCTACCCACCATCCCACCCTGCCTGTGTTAGGGTTTGGGGGTGGCAAGTAGGGGGTGGCGCGTATGGGGGTGGCACTTCTTCATTCCTCCCTTTGCTCCTCCTCCTCCTTCGTCTCCCACTGCTGCAGCTGTCGCTGAGGGGGGTGGATGTGTGGGAGACTGGGGTTTAAGGTTTAAGGGGGGTGCGTGGGAGTGGAGCTAGCGGTGTAGCAGCGCGTGTGTGCCAGAGGGAGTGGGATAGTTTGGGGAAGCTGCATGGAGGTTGCCGTCGTGTCGCCAGCAGCACCTGTATTCCGGGGACTTCGCCCGGTAGCCCAGTCGTAGCCAGCTGTGCCAGCCGCCCGTGGGTCCGTTGCTCGTCTGCCGCTACTTTAGCCGTGGGGCCAGTTACTCCAGTATTCCGGGGGCTTCGCCCGGTAGCCGCTGTGCCAGTCTGCCTCCTGTTGCCCGTGTGTCTGCAGCTTCAGCCGTCGCCTCCTATCTCCTCTCCTCTCACTCTCTCTCCTCCTCCTCACTTGCCCGTTGTGACTACCACTAGCTTTGCTCATAATTGTGAACTTAAACTATTGCTTCTTGAACTTGTGCTCAGAATGTGTGGTGACATTGTGATCCACCCTGAGCTTGTATTGCTTTGCTTGCTCTGCTGATTACACCCCACTTTGGCTATGGGGGTGTGTCAGAATGTTATCTTATGCTCTAGCCTGTAGTGGGGTGCTCTATAGCGAGTACAACCCTTCTAGGGTTTGCTATTTGTATCCCCATTCTTGCTAGTGCAACCCTCTTCTCTTTTCTAAACTTTAACAGTACTCTGAGGGGTACATTCCCTCATTCTAACTGCTTTACAGGCATTTCTACCGATTTCGGGTACGTAAAACCGGTTCTGTGTTTTTCACTCCCCCTCGATTTCGGTTTTCGAACACGCAACGTTAGGCATGGAGGGTTAAGGCGACAACTACGCGACGACAAACGACATCGCCAGCCTTTGCACCGACGTGGAACAGACTCAGGCGGCGATTCGGCGAATCGAGGCCCTTCTGACAAAACAATCCGCAGCCGCCACCGCAGGAGTCAATGCAGCAGCGAACGTAGCAATGACAGCAGCAGCAGCGGCAGCGACACGGACATTTCACGGACCGATGGCACCACCTTCGCTGAACCTCGAAGCAGTTCGCCCGAGGCTCCCCGAAGCATTCGATCCAAGCGCGAAGGGATCGGACTTTCGACGATTCGTGGCGACCCTCGAAATTTACTTCGAGGCCATTGGCTATTCGACCCCGACACACGATGCAGCACGAATTCGGCTAGCAGCGACACTGTTGCGGGGACCAGCACTCGAGAGGATCTATTACACTGACGTGGCCCGCGGAGAGAAAATGTGGATGCAGTTTTGGGCAGACCTCATCGAACGTTTCGAGCCAATTAATATAACCTACATGGCACGGCAGCAGATACACCGACGCAAGCAATACGGGAGTGTAGAATAGTACACGCAGCAAATGGAGCTACTGTTTAACCGCATTACTAACCCGACCAAGGGCGAAAAAATCCAGGCGTACACAGAAGGGTTATAATTGGAGATTCGCCGGCAGGTCATCGCAACCAACTACAATAACTACCGGGACATCGTGCGTGCTACTGAACGATACGACGCTTTGACTCGTGGTTAACCCGAAA